GTCCCCATCACTATACTGGGACATTAGGACCCACATGGACCGCAGGGTGAGCGCCTCCTGCTGGTCCCACTAACAAGCCTTACTGGGCATCTCACGGTTCAACATAATAAACAATCAAAATGAAGATACCAGCAGAAGACGTTTCTCCGATGCACACAGTACTTCAGCTGCGAAAGCAGACCATAGATACCCGGTAGACGAAGCACAAAAGTAAAAATCCCCTCACGGTCACAGGGAATACCATCCGGTGGCCGCTGTCGGGCACGCGGTGTGACGGTGGTTTTGGGTCAAAAGAAAGTCCACGAGATGGTCACACGCGGCCCCCCAAAAAGCAGTAATATCAGCGTCAGGTTTCATTCGTGTTTAAGTCCCGTGTCTTGGGGTGCGGCTAAAACAACCACACATAAAATGCATGAAAAATATAAATTTTGTAGCGCTACGGGATTCAGGTGGGCGCCCTTGCCGCATCAGGTCGGCCCCGCACCTGAACCCAGGACTCCCGCGTCACTCAACAGGGACCCAGCCCAGTGAGCTAAAGACAGATCTTTCTCCAGCCCAGTGGCTGTAGTTCTGCTATTACAGGGAAGGGCGGTGACGTCACCGCTCTGGTAAGTCGGCTCTTACACACCACTGACGGCCGTATGCGTTACAATATTTTAATATAAAGAACCTTACATAACAATACTATGAAATCCAATTCATTCAGCAACCTGTTGAAAAAAACAAATCTTTGATTATATTGTACAGTCATGTGTGATTGCTACATAAAAATGAATGTTAGTGTAATTGTGACTGTACCTGTTATGTTGCCGCGTTAATGTTCAAGTCGTTATAAAGATTCTGAATCCTGGAGATTCATTTTACAGGAACAATAGGTTTATTCCATGCTGGAAAGGAAGAAAAAACGTTGTGTTTTCTTTCTTCCTTTTTCAGCATGGAATAAACCTATTAATTGTTCCTTTGCAGCCTACGCATGCTGACGCAGCTCCCCGCCTGAATTAATTTGACAGGTCAACTTTTATTATGACGTCATTTGCTCGGGTTCACTATTCATGACATCACAAAGCTTCAGATGCGACAGCCGCAGCAGCGTCGGGCTAATAATCAACCTGAGATAAATCCAACGCCAGCATTCATTTCAAGAATGGTGCCAGCTCTTTTCAGTCTGGGGCGCTGCTCCCCGATTCCGTCATCAAGTTTGTTCGGAGGTCAACGCGCAGAAACGAAAGCGTTTCCGCAGCACGGCGGGTAGCCAATGAGAGGTGACGCTTGCACGCTGCGGTCCTTCCCCCCTCCCGCACACGTGGGCAAGATGGCAGCCTACAGGCGCTGCGGTGCTGGGATCTCTCGGCTGTGCTCTCATTCGGGAGCCTTGTTAGCTCGCTCTCCCAGTATGAGACACTTCCTCGGTCTGGGATCGAGGGTGGCCTGGGCACAGGCGCGACGCTGCCATCAGAGTGCCTGGAGTCCGGGGACAGTGAGGAGAGTCGCAGTGGACGCGGGCGAACGGTGAGGGGATATATAAAAGGGGCTCGTTAATGACCCTGACTGTGGTAAACACGCAGAGCACAGACCCCCGCCTCCCCCTGGATGTGTGTGTCACCAATCTATGACAACTTTTCGGAACCCGACACACTGGCAGTAGTCTCCAAGAAGGGCTCCCGGTCCGCTATTCGTTCTTGCTGAGCTCTTTATTTATTTGAATCCTTCAGCGAACTTTTTTTTGTTTTATTCTACTCAAAAGCAGAAGATCCTTAGTCATGAAATGCGTTACATTTAAGGAAACCTTCAAGATGTTTACGAAACAAAAATAAAGAATTCAAATCCTTTTTAGTTTTTGTATTCAAAAACCTAAAAATCCCATAGCGCCTGGTGTTGATGTTCTGTGAGCTCGGTGACTGTGGCAGATGTGTCTCCTCCTCCTGTCTCTGGAATATCGCTCTTCTTGTTTTCCAGAAAGCTGGAGATTTCCACAGGGAAGCTGGCCAGGTTTGCTGATGGCTGTGCTGTAGTACAGGTACTTAGTTGATGGAACATTTTGTCTTGGTTCATGTGGAAGATCAGAGTCCCCACGCAAAGTCTGCACCCCAGGTTTCGGAGGCTGAGTGCTCCGCTGGTGTGTGTTAAATCACTGTGAGGATTCGGCAGGTTAAGCTCTTTTCGGGTGATTTCATTTGTTGAAGAGACCAATTTTACTCGTGAAGTTTAAGGGCTGTACTTGCGGGAGGGGGGGTGGGCTTGCTGCTGGCGCTGTGCCGGGGAGGGTGTCCGAGACCCCAACAGTGCTGTCTTCTTCCAGCTCGGGGACACGTCGGTGATGGTGACCGCTGTCAGCAAGACGAAGCCCACCTCCTCTCAGTTCATGCCCCTGGTGGTGAGTATCGCGGCGATTTCTGTTCCATCAGCCTTGCGGCGCCTCACCGTGCTGCCGGAGTCTGGAATCTCTCCCTAAGGCACTGTCTGGCGGCCTCTTCCCAGGTGGACTACCGGCACAAGGCCGCCGCGGCCGGACGCATCCCCACGAACTACCTCCGGAGGGAGCTGGGGAGCACGGACGCCGAGATCCTGGCCAGCAGGCTGATCGGTGAGGGCTCCCTCTCCGCTGTAGTGCTGACTCAGCAGGGGGATCCCGGCTCGCCCTTCTGAAGAGCCTGTTTCTCTTTCCAGATCGCTCCATCAGGCCTCTCTTCCCTGCTGGCTATTTCTACGACACACAGGTGAGCCCGGCAGCTCGTCCGGTGGGCTTCGGCGAGAGGCCCCAGCTCTCTGGCCTTCCTGTGGAGTGGACTTGAGAGCGACCTTAGTGGGCTTCTCTGAAGGAGGCAAGGGATAAGGCTGCCTCAGTGCTCTGTTGAGAACATATTACTACAGTGCTTGGGATACATGCATAGCTTTTATAAAGAGAAAGACCGATTTCTGTTTTAAAAAAAAATAAGAAAGAAGAATTGGAATGCCGTTATTTGATGTGTGACGATTGTGAGCAGAGATTTGTGGTGTTACTCTGCTGTTTTTGAGAGAACTTGTTTAGACTCACGGATGGTGCTATTTAGATTATATTTATTTTTGGCATTTACACTATGGTGAAACCTTCTGCTCTGCCTTCCTGATCTCCTGCCCCATAGGTGCTGTGTAACCTGCTGGCAGTGGACGGCGTGAACGATCCAGATGTGCTGGCCATCAACGGAGGTGAGGCAGCCCCTGTTGCCGCTGGCAACGGCCCCCCTGCTCAGCGGGGTGGAGGACACCGCACTCCTACTGTCTCTCGGCAGGAGCTGTAGTGACAGTAACACCTCTTGCATACAGACTTTTAGAAAAGAACATTTTCTAGAAAGACTTAGACAGAAACATGCAGTTAAACCATACAAAGCCCAGTCCACTGGTCTTCAGTGTGGATTTAAATTCTGTGTTGGGTTTTCAATGCCTCAAAACGACTGACAGGGTGCCTAGATTCTAGGGGTTCTTGCTGTGGACGTTCTCTGGCCTCTTGGGGCAGCAGCCTGGACACCCGTGTGGTTTTAGATGTAGACGCTGGTGTGTGAGTGAAGGGGCTGTAGACGTAAAACAAACCGGTGTGTTCACGGGCTCGCGCTTTACTGGAGAAACTCACCACTCGGCTACTAGTGTTGCCTGGGTCAATCCTGCACGAGCCCCCGCCTGTCTCCCCTGCACTTGTAACATCCAGCCTTTCTTTCCCAGCCTCTGCAGCCCTCGCGCTGTCGGACATCCCCTGGAACGGGCCCATCGGTGAGCACGCAGCCGGCATCGCTTTCCCAGCAACGCGCCTTGTGCAGGCAAACGCAGCATCTCAATGGCAGAAATTGTGTTCCGGATATAAGGATTTCCTGCCTTTTCCCATAGTCTGTTCAGTACCGTTCAGTGGTGCCGTGGAAGTTACTCATCTCTAATTCTCTGTGTGTTTTGGGAGGTTTTAGAGCCTGAAGTGTTAATTGTTTTCGGGGGTGCAGTCGCGTCAGTTCGTGGGCCTTGGGGCCTGTGGCATGCCGGGCTCTGCCGTGGCAGGGGGTGTTAACCCAGCCAGTGTGTGTGTGTGTGCTGCTCAGGGGCCGTGCGCGTAGGGCTGGTGGACGGCCAGTTCCTGGTCAACCCGACTCGGAAAGAGATGGCATCCAGCACCCTGAACCTGGTGGTGGCAGGAGGCCCTCATAGTCAAGTGGGTGAGTCTTTTCGTACCCTGGCCTGAACGCACTATGAATAACTGATATATATATATAGATAACACTGTATGCAGTGATCAGTTCTAAACACCCATTCATGGTAACCCAATAACAGAGGTTTACTGGATCTGTACTTAAACTACAGTATAAAACCTCTCAGGGTCTTCTTCTTCTTCTTCTTTTTCACAGCCTTAGTCCCAGACTGTCCTGGGGTCAGCTGCTTTGGTTGCTCTTCTCCACTTGTCTCTGTCGAGCACATCTTCCTCACTCACTTCACATACCTCCATAT